CAATGTTTTGACATCAACTACTTCCTGTGGTAATTAATTCCACAGGCTGATCACTCTTTGGGTGAAGAAATGTCCCCTCATCTCCGTCCTAAATCATCTACCCCAAGTCCTCATATTGTGACCCCTGGTTCTGGACACACCCACCATCAGGAACATCGTCCCTGCATCTACCCTGTCCAGTCCTGTTAGAATGTTATAAGGCTCAATGAGATCGCCCCTCATTCTCTAGTGAAAACAATCCCAACCTAGTCAATCACTCCTCAAACGTTAGACCCGCCATCCCTGGCATCAGCCTGGTAAGCCTTTGCTACACTTCCTCGAGAGCAAGAGCTTCCTTCCTCAGAAAAGGAGTCCAAAATAGCACACAATGTTCTAGGTGTGGTCTCACCAAGGCCCTGTACAACTGCAATAACACATCCCTGCTCCTGTACTCAAAACCTCTCGCAATGAAGGCCAACATACCATTTGCCTTCTTTACCGCCTGCTGCACCTGCTTGCTTACCTTCAGCGACTGATGCACAAGGACACCCAGGTCCCGCTGCACACTCCCCTCTCCCAATTTACAGCAGAAGAACAGGAGGAAGGGAAAAGAACGCTCCATGTAGTCATTCGAGTAATACAAGTCAACAGCACAGAAAAAGGCCCTTCGACCCCTCGAATTTTGAATCTGTGTCAACCAAAAACAATGACTTAACTTTTCCAATCCCATTTTCCAGCACTTGGACCATAGCTTTACATGCCTTGACATTGCCAGTGTGCATCTAAATACTTTTAAATGTAATGAGGGTTCCTGTCCATATCATACTTACAGGCAGTGAGTTCCAGATTCCCAATCACCCACTGAGTGAAAACGTTTATCCACACGTCTCTAAATCTTCTGCCCCTTTCCTTAAATGACCCCCGGTCATTTATCCCTGATTTTTTTATATCTCAGTCATGTCCCTCCTCAATCTCTTCTGCTCTAAGGAAAACAGCCCCAATCTTTCCCATCTGTCTTCATAACTGAAAGTCTCCAGCCCAGACAATGTCCTGGAAAATCTCCTCTGCTCTCTTTCCAGCTCTATCACACCCCTTCTATAATGTGGTTTGCAGAGCTGCACACAACACACTAGCCACGGTCTAACCAATGTTTTATACAGTTCCAGAATAAACGCCCTGCTCTTAAAACTCTATGCCTTGGCTAATAAAGGCAAGTATCCCATTTGCCTTCTTAACCACTAGCTCTGTTTGTATAGGATTAGATCAGTAAAGAAGAAATTATCTTGTATGCAACTATCAAGATGGAGATTCAGTTTTGATGGCATAAGAGAAATGATGTATAGAAGTCATTGTTGGGAGAAATTTATTGTCTCCCTAAGCAGCTAAAGAATAGGACAGAGTGTACATCTGGAATTATTCAGGGTTAGCAAGAAAGGTACTGAAGTAGTTGTGGGTGACTAAAATCTTCATATCAATTGAACAAACCAACTTGTCAGTGGTAGCATCAGGTACAAATTCATAGTGTGTATTCAGGAGTTTCTTCAAACAGTACATTCTAGACTGTGCCAGGAACTATGTTATTTTAGTCCTGGTTGCATGTAATGAGATGGGACCATTTAATGGACACACAGTAAAAATTCTCTATGCAAAAGTAATCATGATATGTTGAATTACGTATTCACTTTGAGATTGTATTATGTGGATCCATAACTAGTGTCTTAAACCTAAAGAAAGGCAATTAATTGACTGAAAGAATAGGTTAAAAGATAAGACAATGAAGATGTAGGGTAGACATTTAAGGAAATATTTCGTAACTCTCAACAAAGATATTTTCCATTGAGGAAGATACAAGTTAATGCTGATAGCAAATTGAACAAAAAGATATAAAATTCTGTGAAAATTAGTGGCAGAAGATTGAGAAAATTCTAGAAGCCAGCAAAAAGAAAAGAGAAATTGGAATACAGGAAAAAACTTACAAGAAGTATTAAAAAGCAAACAGCAATATTTCCACAAGTATATAAAAAGAAAATGTATTTTTAAAATGAACAATGGCCCATGAGAGGATGAGACTGAGGAATTAATAATAGAAAACAAAAAATATTCAAATGTATATTTTCTATCCATTTCTACAATAGAAAACACAAAAAGCATTGAAAGAGACATAAGTCAAGAGGCAAAAGGGATGGGGTTTATAACTGAAAACTATCACTATCACTTGAGAAATCATACCCGGAAAATTAATGTGACTAAAGGCTAACAAATCCCCTGGATCTGCATCATTGGCTCTTTAAGGAAATCGCTCCCAAGATAGTAGATACATTGGTTATAATCTTCCAAAATTATCTAGATTCTGGGAAATGTCCCAATGGATTGGAAAACCATAAATATAAGACCTCAGTTCAAGAAAGCAGGGAGACAGAAAGCAGGAAACTTTAAGCCAGTTAGCCTAATATCTATTATTGATAAAATGCTAAAATCCATTATTAAAGAAGTAGTAGCAGACCATTTAGAAAATCATAATATAATCAGGCAGAGTCAATATGGTTTTGTGAATGGGAACTTGATGAAAAATGATTAGAGCTCTTTAAGGATGTAACAAAAAGATGGGTAAAGGGGAACTGGTAGATGTGGAGACCAAAATAGAAATTGCTGGAAAAGCTGAACCAGTCCAGCAACATCTGTGGAGAGAAATCAGAGTTAATGTTTCGGGTTGAGTGACCCTGGTAGATGTTGTTTATTTGGATTTCCAAAAGTAATTTGATAAGATGCTTTATACAAGATTACTAGATAAAGAAGGAGCATGGTGTTGGGGTGATGTAATTAGCATTACTGGTGGATGGATTAACTAACAGGAAAGATATTTAGGACTGATGTGTCATTCTCAGGTTGGCAAACTACACAGAAATCACAGCTGAAGCCTTAACTGTTTAAAATCTACAACAATGGTTTGGATGAAGAGACCAATGACATTATAGCCAGACTTACTGACAATACGAAGATAATTAGAAAACCAAGTTGTGAGGAGGATACAAAGGCTGATGTTTGTGGGCAAAAATTTGGTAGATGGAATTTGGCAGATAGAATACAATGCAAGAACATTTGACAGGAAGAACAGAAAAACAGTATTATTTAAGCAGAGGGAGCAGAATGTTGTGGGACAAAGGGATCTGGATGTCCTTATACATAAATCACCAAATGTCATTGCACAAGTACAGCAAGTAACCAAGAAAGTAAATAGAGTGCTGGCCTTTATTGCAAAGGGGATGGAGTGAAAAGTAGAGAGGTGTTGCTACAAATGCAGAGAGCATTGGTAAAGTCACGTGTGGAACACGAAACACTGATGATGTTACCCAGCAGGGTAATGCGGAACAATGAAACAGCTCGGCGAGCCAACCAACCACAACATCCACAACCCGAGCTACAAATCGACTCTAAAAATCTTATGTGGAAAAATGAACCAGCATGGCGAGCCAACCAACCACAACATCATAATTAGTTTCAATCTCCTTACTTAAGAAGAGATAGTATTGCATTGAAAGTAATTCAGAGAAGGATCATTTGGTTGATTTCTGGAATAACAAGTTACTTTATCAGGAAAGGTTGAGTAGGTTGGGCCTGTACTCATTGGAGGGGTGATCTTACTGAAACATATATAATCCTGAGGAGACTTGACAGGGTGAATGCTGAGAGGACATTTTCTCGTGTGGGGAAATCTAGAACCACAAGGCACAGTTTCAAAATAATGAGCCTCCCATTTAAGACAGAGATGGGGAAAAATTCTTTCTCTCAGAGGGTTATTAGTTTATGGAATTCTCCTTGCCAGAGAGCGGTGGAGGCTGGATCTTTAAATATATTTCGCTGGTTCAGACAAGGTTGTTTTGTTTGACAAGGGAGTCAAGAATTATGGGGGCACATGCAGGAAAGTGAAGTTAAGGTCACAACCAGACCAGCCAGTTCTGAAGAAGTGTCATACTGGACTCGAAATGTTAATTGTTTCTCTCTCCACAGATACTGCCAGACCTGCTGAGTTTCTCCAACATTCCATCTGTTTGTTTTAGCTTTGATCTAATTAATTGGTAGGGTAGGTTTGAGGGGCTAACTGACCCGCTGCAGCTCAGACTTTTCATTTCCCTTAGAGAAGATGGTAGTGTGCCGTTGACATTCATATGGTGTTGGTACACTCAATTTTGACGGCAGCCGTGAAGGAACGGTGATATAATTCCAAGTCAGGATTGTGAATGGCTTTTTAAAAAATTCATATACAGGATGACGGTGTCACTGGCTAGGCCAGCATTTATTGCCAATCCTTAATTGCCCAGAGGGCAGTTAAAAGATAACCACATTGTTGTGGTCTGGAGTCATATGTAGGCCAGACGGGTTTCTCCCCGACAAGTGATTCATGGTCACCATTAGATTCTTAATTCCAGATTTGTTTTTATTGAATTCAAATTCCACCATCTGCAGTGGTGGGATTTGAACCCCAGTCCCCAGAGCATTATATGGGTCTCTGGATTATCAGTCTACTAGGCCATTGCCTCCCCATTGCTGGGAGTGGAACTTGCAGGTGATCGTGTTCCCACACATCTGCTGCCTTTGTTCTTGTAGATGGAAGTGGTCGTGGGTTTGGAAGGTGCTGTCAAAGGAACCTTGGTGAGTTGCTACAGCACAGCTTATAGACAGTACACAATACTGTCTCTACATTGGTAATGAAGAAAGAATAAATGTTGGAGGTGGTGGATGGGATGTCAATCAAGCTGGCTGCTTTAGCATGAATGATGTTTCCTGGGTGCAATTGGATATGCTCTCATCCAGGCAAGTGGATAGTAGTCCATTGCACTATGACTTGTGCTCAGTATCTATCCTCAATAGCAAATCATGGCAAACATTTCCTTTTTTGATGTTGTGTGCAGCCCTTAAGGGTTGCGGTTCTGGCAATGAGGACTCAGGCCTGTACACTTTAGAGAAACCCTTGAGCTATTCTAGGGTTGCTACTTGAAAACCTGATCTTTTTTCCTCTACAGGTCCTGTGGACTGAGGAAGCCTACATTCTGCAATGGAAAGCAATCCCTTGGAAGAACATAGGCCTGGCCTACTGCCCTGGTTTATTGCCACTACTCAGATCCTTGGCCTGGCTGCTGTGGTCATGACTGGTGTTTGGATGGGTCACTACGAAGGGGGGTTTGCATGGAATGGAGGCTCGCTGCAGTTCAATGTGCACCCTCTCTGTATGGTGGTCGGAATGATCTTCCTCTACGGAGATTGTGAGTACTAGAGATACTCTCCATCTTTTTCTTTAGTTTGAAGAATTACACTTTGTTAAATAGACGATTGTGCCGCTGGTAAACAAAAATGCCCTTCGCCTCCAAGTCCTGGTGACACCAGTTTGTGTCTAACTCAGAGTCTGCATCGCAAGTTATCACTTATTGATTAAATATGAATAATATGGCAAGAAATTAAGCTCCATTCTTTTTATTTAACCATCTCCCAATACCAATTAAAGCTGAGTGTGAGTACACAATGCAGGTAGACTGAGAATGAAGAATAATGACAGGCTGGAGCCACTAAATGTTGGGATCACAAAAACAAGCAGAAACCTTGTGAGATCTTGATTCCAATACCATCTAGGTGCTAGGCTCTGGAAGTGCACCCCAGATATCTGTATACACCTCTCTATCCTCCTGTAAGATACTCCTTAAAACCTAAAGCTTTGACTATGGTCATCTGTCCTAATGTCATTTTGTGAATGTAATGTGAGAATATACTTTGAATGTTTTAATAGATTAAATACACTGTATAAATACAAGCTATTGTCTTTGCTGTAAAATAGGAAAGTTGTGAGTTACAAGCATAACAGCACCTGTTATACCCTGTTAATGAAACTGTGGGAAGAATGTCCTTAAGTAACCTGGCCAGTATGTACGGTTGTTCACTCATAGACAACAACCATTTGGTCAGATAATAGCCAGGGTCATTGTCATTATTCCAATTTAAAGAGACATGCATCCAATCTCTGCAAAGACACCCAGGAATAGGCCCAAGCAGTTTATAGTGGCTCTCATGTGAAGGATTCATTAATGTATCCCAGAGCTGACAATGTGCCTCAAGGCTGTTGTTTTTAATGAAATTTCCAGGCACAATGAGAATGGCAAATGTGCTCCTAAATAGATAAACTGCTGACTGTGAATCAAACAGAGATCTTTGGAATAGAAAATCAGATCAGCTTGTGCCCTTGAGCTTGTTGAATTCAATTTCAAACTCTTAGACTACGGAAGGAGAAAAATATTGTGATGTACAATTAATATAATTGTGCTTTCTCAATTCCACCCTCAGGGTAATTTAAATCAAATCATCCCTGACTGTAGCACTTATTTGATGGTTTTTGACCATTTCTCCTTGAGGGGCCCTGTTTAGTTTCTATAATCCATTCCATGGAGTCCAGCAAAAGTTGAAATCAACACCAGGATGTATCCATGTATAGAAATATCCAAACCAATGACAATACCTTACCCTGAAACTACAAGTCTCGAAATTTGATAATTCCTCAAGCAAAGGAAGCTCATCAGGGCTGGAGAGTTTCCGTTAAGAAGAAAGATTTGATAGACTGGGGTCGTTTTCTGAAGGCTGAGCAGGCTCCTGGTTGAGGTCTACAAAATTATGAGTGGCATAGACATATGCAGATGCATTTCCCATTGGTAGAGAGATCAATAACCAGAAGCCATAGATTTAAGTTAAGGGGCAGGAGGTTTAGAGGGGATTTAAGAGAATTATTTCACTCAGAAGGTGGTGCATATCTGGAAGTTACAGCCTGGAAGGGTGGTAGAGGCAGCAACAATTAGAGTGTTTAAGAGCTATTTAGATGAATACTTGAAATGCCACAGCATAGGAGGCTATGGGCCAAGTACTGGAAAATGGGATTAGATAAGATAGGTATTTGGTGACTGGCACAGACATGATGGGCCAAAGTACCTCTTTCCCTGCTGTACAACTTTATGACCAAGCCAATCTCCTCTTCAGTTCATCACAGCTAGCTGCCTCACAGCATGATTCCAAGAATACAGACAAATATGGTGTGACACAACAGTCTACCACAAGCCCCGGTTCCTGGGATCTTCCCACCAGGAGCCTCAGTCATTGACCTTTGACTCCTGCCAGAAAAGCCAGGGCCCAGGAGGAAGCTCCCTCTCTCTACTTTGAAGGTCAGTGCCATGTCAGAACGCTGGAATACAAACCAAATCAATAAATACAGAGGCTAATGAGAAGTTGTCCCTTATCTAAATTTAAAAATAAGGAAGTTAGGCATCAGTTGTATCAAACCTTGGGCAGACCCCATCTGGGATACACATCGCTATGGCCACCATAACATTGACATTGGATGGGTGCAGCATGGAGTAACAAAATGATGCAGAGTTCAATGTGTAAATTTAAGGGGATAAGAGGCAAAGATTTTCTGAAGAAGAGTCCCGACTCGAAACATCAGCTTTCCTGCTCCTCTGATGCTGCCTGGCCTGCTGTGTTCATCAAGCTCTACACCTTGTTATCTCAGATTCTCCAGCATCGTCAGTTCTTACTATCTCAAAGATTAGGTTTTTATGTCCTCACTCACAACTGGTTAAAAATGCTGAGGTTAATTAACGCTTTCAAGACTGAAACTGCGAGAATCTTGTTGAATAAGAGAAATATGGATGAATGAAAAATAATTACAGGTCATTAATGATCACTAATGATTGCTAATGATCTAATTGAATGGCACAGCAGCTAAAGCTGTGGTATGACCTCCCCCTGTTCCTATCTCTTGATCTACATACACATTGTGGGTACCCAAATTTTACAGGGTACCCACAAGATGTGATTGTCACTGACTAGACCAGCATTTATTGTTTATCCATAATTGGCCTGGAGAAGATGGTGATGAGCCAGCTCTTTGAACCCTGCAGTCTGTGTGGTGTAGGTATACCCACAATGCTGTTGGGTAGGGAGCTCCAGGATTTTCGTCAATCAACAGTGAAGGATTGTTGTTATATTTCTAAGTCAGGATTAGTGAGCGGCTTGTAGAGGAACTTGCAGCTGGTGGTGTTCCCATATATCTGCTGCCCTTGTCCTTTTAAGGATTAGAGTTCATGGGCTTGGAAGATGCTGTCTAACGAGCCTTGTGAGTTGCTGCAGTGCATCTTGCAGATAGTACACACTGCTGTGACTGAGCGTTGGTGGTCGGAGAAGTGGATGTTGCAGATGTGGTGCCAATCAACTGGGCTGCTTTGTCCTGAATGGTGTCAAGTTTCTTGAGTGTTCTTGAGTGCACGCACTCAGGCATGAAGAGAGTATTGCATTACACTCCTGACTTGTGTCTTGTAGATGGTGGACAGGCTTTAGGGAGTCAGGAGGTGAGTTACTCGCTACAGTATTCCTAGCCTCTGAGCTGCTCTTGTAGCTACTACTTATATAGCTAGTCCAGTTCAGTTTCTGCTTAATGGAAATTCCCAGTTGGAGAGGGGATAAAGATGTCTTGAGAATGAAAACAATTTTTGGGAAGCATCAGCAAGTTGTCAACATAATTATTCATTTGGAGAGCTGGTGCAGACATTATAGGTAAATGGCCTCCTCTTATACTATAACATTCTGTGATTCTAGTCCTCTTTATGAATAGATCTCTTTATAGGCTTCCTATCTCCTTTTGGGTTCTAGGTGGTCATTGTTTCTATCAGCTAAAATGCCCCTTTGAACATTTCTCTTGACCAGATATAAAGATATTGAAAATTTTGTGGAGAGGGCTGGGGGGAGATGACTGTTGGCTGATGGTAAACATCTTCCTTTCTACTTTCTGGTTGGTATAGAATGTCACTGGTATGGATGTGGTGACCAGCCAATGGCTGGATGATGGGGAGAAAATCATGTGGTGAATCCTCCAGGAACGGATACAATCCCAGTTGACAACACTATTGCAAGGCAGAGTGGGGTGAGGTGTGTTTGAAGGAAGAGGAGTGAGTTTGGGAGAAAAAGAGGATTGTAAGCCTAAAGTTACAGAGAAAATAAATTTTACACAAGAATTTTCCCCAATCCCACTTCAATTATAATACAGGAGGGATTCTGGAACTCACCAAAGTCATAGAGTCATACAGCCTGGAAGCACGACCTTTGGCTCAACTTATCCATGCAAACCAGGTTTGCTAAACTGAATTAGTTCCTTTTGGCCCATATCCATCTAATTCTTACCTATTCATGTACCTGTCCAGATGCCTTTAAATGTTGTAACAGAGCTTCTGTTTTGGCCAAGCTTGGGTTCCAACATGTTCAGAGGGAGTGGATCATTATGAGGGGCAGGGGTTAGACAGTAAAGTGAACTGAGGCCACAACCCAATCAACTACAAAGACATTGAGTAGTGCAGCGTGTCATAGGCCTGAATGGCCTGCTCCTGTTCATAAGGGTTAAATGCCAGAGGTAAAAATGCAGGTTGACAGAATGTTATTGTATACTTCTCTAGTGTAGTTTATTTCTCCAAGAACGCTCTAAATGTGCTTGCCCTATTTATACATCTCATTCGCATTCAATTAACCCACCTAATATCTAGACAACACCCATTCTCTAGTTCCATCAGGTCTCAGGCATTCTCCCAGAGCCTACTAGATACTAACAGTAACTCCTAAGTTCCTATATGTCCAAAGATGTGCAGACTAGATGGCTTGGCTTATCCACAGTGTCCAGAGATGCGTAGGTTGTTGGATTAGCCATGGAAAATGCAGGGTTACAGGGATAGGGTAGCGTGGGGAGTGGATGGGTATGGAGTCAATGGGCCGAATGACCTAATTCCACACCGTAGTGATGCTATGATTCTTTGATATCCGTACGTTGAATGGAATAAAAGAGGCTATATTCAGAGTTACTGTTTAACTGGTATTACTTTACGAGATCAGCCTGTATGTTCAAGTGTATTTTTAAATTCGTCAAAAGTCACATTTTAAATGAAAAGCAGGAGAGTCTGGGAGACAGTTTCTCCCTTGTTAAAGCTGTAATGTCTTGGTCATTAACTAAATCCTGTGTTTTACTCCTTCTCTGAGAGACCGAGTTAAACATCACCACTAGGGCCTGCAAATTCACCTCCTGACAGCTACTGATAACCAAATGCATTTCTCCTGCAGCAATCCTGGTGTACAGAGTGTTCAAACATGAGAACAAAACTACAGTGAAGATTCTACATGCAGTCCTCCACCTGATTGGATTGTTAGCTACCATTGTTGGTAAGTCTGGTATAGCACTGGATAGTGGCACCCAGGGTGCAGCGGGAATATAGTGTCAGCCTGTGAGGGGACCCTATCAAGGGAGGAAGATTACAGGGAAGCCAAATGGAATGGAAATTGGAAGAGATGTGAGAGTCAAGAGAGCCACCAGTGAGAGAGAATGCAAGAGAGAGAGATAGATGAGGGGTAGACCATGGTGGCTCAGTATTTAGTGCTGTTACCCCACAGTGCTAGGGACCTGGGTTCAATTCCACCCCCGGGTGACTGTCTGAATGGAATTTGCATGTTCTTCTTGTGTCTGTGTTGGTTCCCTGCCACAGTCCAAAGATGTGCAGGTTAGGTGGATTGGCCAGGCTAAATTGCCCATAGTGTGCAGGGATGTGCAGGCTAGGTGGGTTAGCCATGGGAAATGTAGGGTTAGAGGGCAGGGGAGTGGATCTGGGTGGGATGTCCTTCAGAGGGCTGGTGTGGACTTGATGGGCCGAATGATCTGCTTCTATACTGTAGGGATTCTCTGAGAGGTGAGTGACTGATAAAAGAAGGTGCAAGATATTTGTTCAATATGAGTGGTGAAAGGACCTAAATCAAAACTCTTTGAGCTGTGTTGTTCAGGACCCAGACAAACTTTGGGTTTTACTGGAATTAGCAGGTAATGACCAACTCTGTGAGGACAATGCTGACAGTATGAGAGGGTTGCACCTCCCTAGCATTTTTGCATGATCGGTGGCTGGGAATGATCAACAATCTGAGTTTGAAATGTATGGATTCTGATTGTGGAATTATTTTCAACTCCTAGGTTTGGTTGCGGTGTTTCAATTCCATTCGGCCCAGAATATACCCAACATGTACAGCCTACACAGCTGGTGTGGACTCATAACCATCATTCTCTTCTGTGTACAGGTTAGTGTCCATCACTGGGCCAGGCCAGCCCTAGACTCCACCACTTTCTGGGGGGGGGGGGGCACCCAAGGGCAGTGTCAATTTGCCCTGAAACATACCCTTCCTATCCCTAGAAAGCTTATGAGATTAGGGGTAAACTGGACATTTCTAAACTGCACTTTTGTTAGGCCAGGATATTAAAGGATGTGGAACCATAGTGATTTAATGGAGTTAAGACACAGAATAGTCACAGAAAACAACTTGATAGCAGAACAGGTCTGAGGGGTTGAATGGCCTACGTCTGGTGTGCTGACTGAAATCTCTTCATCAGAAATACACAAACTGCCTGGGATTCCAGAAATAAAAAGTAGAAGGGCTGGAAAAACTCAGCCAGTCCAATAATGCCTTGAGAGAAATATGGCTCAACCTTACCAGAAATTGTCTAAGTGTCATTTTTGGTGAGTTTCCTTGAACAATTCTCTCTGTTGACCCTAGTCACAACATCTTCCCAAACCCATCTCATCTCCCAGAGTATTATGATTCAATGGTACCCAGTTCATATTCTTTGACTCTCCACAGGTAAGAATGCTGGCCATTGCCGGCATCACCTGGGATTCCTGAGACTGGCACCATCTTTAAAGCCCAACCATGCACCTGATCAAGTGCTAGCAGCCCAATACTGCCCTGCACAACCACTGTCAATATCCCCATACAGGTCAGCCAGAGGGGAATAGACATCCAGCTATGTTGACCTGCAGGATGGATGGGAGGGTGTACACAGTTACTGTCCATGAGCATTCTTTGAGATGCTGCTGATTAGTGTACGGCTAGAGGAGCAAGCAAGAGTCAGGAGGTCACTATTCTGACTCTCATGTTGGGAGGTTGCCATACTGTTTCTATCTTTGGAGTGTACAGTGGCTCAGTGGTTAGCACTGCTGCCTCACAGTGCCAGGTTCAACCCCACCCTCGGGGGACTGTCTGTGTGGAGTTTGCACAATCTCCCCGTGTCTGTGTGGATTTCCTCCAGGTGCTCAGGTTTCCTCCCACAGTCTAAAGATGCACAGGTTAGGTGGATTGGCCATGCTAAATTGCCCAAAGTGTCCAGGGATGTGCAGGCTAGATGGGTTAGCCAATGGAAAATGCAAGATTACAGGGATAAGGTGGGGGGTGTGGGTCTGGGTCGGATGCTTTTCGGAAGGTTGGTGTGGATTTGATGGGCTGAATGGCCTGCTTGCTTCCACACTGGAGAGTTCTGACCTGGAGAGTGGATGAACGGGAAATTGTATATCGATTATGCGAGATGACGTTGTAATGAGGATGTTAATACACACAAATAGAGCTCACACCAGCAAGAATCTCAATTTGCCACTTAACATTTGATTGGATAATGAGACTTTCTGTTCTTAATGTTGGGACCCTGCTGTTCTCATGTAATTTTCCCAATTTTCTCATCATGTCCAAATTGTTCAGTGGCTAGGAAGATTCGGTCATAAACAAATAGTAACCGTTCACTTAAAATGATATACAAGGTAAAGACATGGCTCACTGAAGGGAGTACAGTGTAGTGCACTAAAGGCTGGGTTTCACAGACATGTTGTCAGAAGGGTTTTATAGATACAGGGGAATCTCGGACGGGGGTTTCAGAAACGGGAAAACACACAAATAGGGCTAGAGAAGCTAATTATTCATGAAAGTACAATATATGAAACTAATGAGGAATTATATTAGTGTTTTAAAGGATTATATGAGTGTTTCAAAGTAGCATCTAATGGTAGCTGAAATATCTAATAGCTGAAATATGAAGGAATCAGGTGGATGAGACAGACTGAATTTCAGGGAGTGGGAGGGGTTGGCGAAATATCTCACGTGCTTGGTTGACTTTTCTTTCAATGTTATTTGTACAATGCCTATCATGCACTGTGTCAGTATTGGCTTAAAGGTTAAAGTGTCTTTTTTTGACTCTCCTTTTGCAGTGGGTAATAGGACTTGTATTCTTCCTGTTTCCCGGCGTGGCCTATTCTCTCCGAGCCTCATACCGGCCTCTACATGTCTACTTTGGGCTTGCACTGTTTATTCTGGCTATCGGGACTTGCTTGCTCGGGATCACAGAGAAGCTGCTCTTCTCCATCAGGTGAGGATGGCTGGGTCATTGGAGGGACAAGAGGATGTTTGTGAAGTCCTCAAACAGGATTTAGTGCTTACATTGCAGACACAGCATCCCAGTGCTGCAGAAGGTCATCTGTTGGATCCCTAGCTTGTGCCAAACCGGCTAATCTCAGTGCCACAGTTGGCCTCTATACCATAGAGCCTGGGCAAGAGGGGTGAGGGGTAGTTAGACTAGCCAGAATTGCCTAATTTCCAGTGGCATCCTGCTGCTGAGCTCATGCAGATAGATGTTGGATGAGACCACCACAGGATTAACTCCTTCCCTACCTTGGCCAAGGTCTTCTGAACATGTGCAGGTAGAGGTTACCTGGGGCTTATTAGCTGGAGGAGATTGGTCACTGCCAATTAGAACATGGAACAAGAGTCCCTTGCATCTGTCCCACCAGCTAATGAGATTATGGTGGGTCTGTGACCTAACTCCTATTTCCTTGACACATTCCGATAACAAATAGCAATCAATTGGAGATTTAACATGAATAATGGATGTAGCATCTATTGCCATTTGCAGAAGAGAATTCTGCACTTCTATCACCTTCAATGTTTCCCAATTTCCCTACAATAATGTCTGGCACTGATTTGTGACTGTGCACCAACGTGATTCCTCAGTCAATGGAGATAGTTTTTATTTGTCTACCGTGTCTGTTTCCCCTAATATTGTGAAAACATTGATTATGGTCCAGTCCAACCAGGACTTGGTACAGATGAAGTGCAACCTCCAACTCCTTGCTTTGAATTGCCGAGATATAAAGGACAGCATCCATTCAGTTTTTTTATGTGCCTTTTATGTGCATCTCATGTACCTGTTCATACCATTATCATGATCTGTAGGGTGTTTATTCTAGGGAGGTGGTGGTATAGTTGCCTAGTAATCCAGAGGCCCACGTTAATGTTCTGGAAACATGAGTTCAAATCCCATTAGGATTTACCAGGACTTCAATTCAGTGAACAGATCTAGAACGTAAATCTAGTCTCAAATGATGGGGAAGAAACATCTGGTTCATTGACATCATTTAGGGAAGGACATTTTCCATTCTTACTTGCTCTGGCCTACATGTAACTCTAGACCCACAGCAATGTGTTGGATTCTAAACTGTCCTCTAAGAAAGGCCAAGCAAGCCACTTGTTTTGGGGGTAATTAGGGATAAGCTACAAGTGTTGGCCTTTCCAGCAATGCCCACACCCTATGAAAGAGTAAAATGAGAAAAATAAATGCCCCCTCTCTAAGTCTATTTGTTCCTGACTATTTCTAACTTTTTACCATTTAGAAAGTGCTCTGTGCTACTTCTTTGTGGTAGACAGTCTCACAGAGAAATAAATTGTCGCAGTTTTGCCCGAAAGTCTTAATCCATAAATATCTCTTTATTGGGCTTCCATTTGCCTAATGCTTCCTATGTTATCATCAATTAACTTGTGATGTGGCTTTCCATTCCATCGTCTAAGTCATGAATAAATGGTAAGTGGTATTTCAGATCGTTGTGGAATACCACTTGTAACACTCACAATTGGAGCATTATCCATTACCCCTACTCTCTTCTGTCAATATTTCAGCCAATTTCTTACAAGGTCAATAATTTGTTTTAAATTCCATGAGCTTCAACTTTCGATGACAGTTTATTTCTCCTGAGGGACTTTATCACGCGCTTTCTGGATATCCATATATTTTTCCTCCCATTTGTTCATGGGTTGTGAGACAAGACCAGCATTATGAACCCCTTCTTAATAGCCCTTGAGAAGGTGGCTATCAGTTTCCTTCCTGAACTGCTGCAGTCCACATCAATGCAGGTATACCTACAGTGCTTTTCAGGAGGAGTTTCCAGGACTATGAATGCATCAAGGAATGTATATTTCCAAGTTGACATAGTGTGTGACCTAGAGGGGAATGCACAGATGATGGTGTCCCCATACGTCCTTCGAGGTGGTAGCGATCATGGGTTTGGCAGGTGTTGGTGAAGGAACCTTGGTGAGTTGCTGCAGATGTTGTAGATGGTACACACTGTGCTGCCACTGTGTGTCAGCGGTGGATGAAGTGCAAACAAATGAACTGCTTTGTCCTGGATGGTGTCAAGCTTCTCATGTGTTTTAGGAGCTGTGTTCTTCCAGGAAAATAGAGAATGTTGGGTCAAACTCTTGACTTGTGCATTGTAGATGATGAACCACATTTGAGGAGTTAGTTATGTGTCCCAGAATTCCAAGCCTCTGACTTGGTCCTGTAGCCACTGTATTGATTTGACTGGTTCAGTTCCATTTCCGGCCCATGCTAACTCCAGGTTGTTGACAGTGGGGGATGGTAGCACCACTGAATGTCAAGGGGAGGTGGGTGGATTCTCTCTTGCTGGCAATGTTCATTGCCTGTCATTAGTCTGGGCGGTGCATTAAGCGGAAGTGTGGGAGTCATTGGAGGCAGGAGGTCATGTAATAGATACTTCCAGGAACATGATAAACTGATGTTGACAACCCCACTGACGTTCAGTGTATGGGATTTTGATTGAACCAATCCTTTCCCTTGCAGTGACACCTACTCAAACTTTGCAGCAGCGGGAGTCCTGGCGAACGTGTTGGGCCTGGTGTTGGTTGGCTTTGGGTTAACAGTTGGTTATGTCGTGACACGCAGTGAATGGAAACGGGTAACAAGTCCAGAGGAGGAAGCTCTCTCCATGCATTTCAAAACTTTGACGGAGAGGGACAGCCCTGACTCACCACAAGGATGATAAATGGTTAGATCAAGTGCATACTAATAGCAACCTGGTAATGCTACATGAGTGAGTGACTGTAAATAGCACGTGGCTTGTTGATATCTCACTCTGTCTCTTTTTCATTAATAAAACCCATGATGATTTTCTTCTCTGATAATGCTAAATTGTCTCAACACCTCAGTGAACTGTATTTGGGGGGAGGGTGAATCAGCAGTTGTCACATTGCAGAAAAGTAAGAATTAAAAACTGGCTGAATTAAAGGATAACAGTTAAAATTTTACCTCAGTGAGATGCAAATACCAGACTGTTAAGTTGACCTTGTGTGGAATGAGCTTGCATAGCCTCAGCCCAGTTCCCATTGGACCATTGAACCATGGTAACCCTAGAGAGGCTGAAAGGCAAGTGTAGGAACCTTGATCAATATCCTCCTGAGGCATCAAGGGCGTCTGTTGAGATTGACGCTATGGCATGGGATAAGATTGGTGTAATGTGAGATTTACTCAGCCAGTCCTGGCCTACTTCTTGTTAGCACAAGGTTCTCTAGCACCATCACCCCTTTACTTCACCAGTACCAAATCAAATCTTACGTCAAAGTTTAGGCTAGACTATGAAGAGTTTTGAAATAAATCAGTAGGATTTATTATTAGTCCTTTTTCATTCTTCACCAGCTGTCATATATAGGATCCCTGTGTAGAGAGAGATTGTTATATATAACATAAGCATAAACACTTCAGAGTGTTGTCACCTCCACACTCGAGGGAGTAGAAATCTGTAGAAGTTGCCCTTAATTGAGTGTAAAATGGATACAATTCACATCAATTTAGCAGCAAGATGTCCTGTACTCAAGTTAAGGAGACATTCCTATCTATCTTTTCTTTATTTCACATCCCCAATAACTTTATAAAGCTATTCATAGGAAGTTAAGAAAAAGCCTTTCTCACAAAATAATTCCTTTGATTTATTCCTGGGTTATTCCCAGAATTATCCTGGGGATTAAACTTTCATTCCTGGAGATCAGGACAACAACCTAGTACCCAGTTTTTTGAGAAATCTTGGAAAATGTATTTCTTTCCCATCATTTCTGTTCACCACCTTGCACCAGCCATCCTCCAGGGTGAGGGAAGGAGATCCAGCCTTGGCTCTAACCATAAGGTAGAGTGGAGCGATCCAGTATACACCTCTGATTGTCCTGGTCCACAGTCTCACACTAGGGGGACAGTATAAGCTAGTGACCAGGGGGAGAATGGAGTATAGGCATGGGCCAGGAAACCTCACTGCTTGAGTATGATACCTGCAGCTCAAATCAGGCTCTGCTGTTTGTGCTTAAGTTGGGAGGGGGGTGCTTTGTTAATTTTTGCCTGAACACAGGTCTCAGAATTGTTAGATAGGCTTACAGTAGAGAGAGTCTTACAGTAGAGGGAGTCTTACTGTGTATCTAACCCCATGATGTGCCTGTCCTGAGACTGTTTGTTAGGGACAGTGTCAAGGGAGCTTTACTTTTAGTGAACTTTCAGTTTAAAAGAGTAAAGAAAGCTTCACTCTATATCTAACCCTCTGCTGTCTCTGTCCTGGAAGTATTTGATGGGGACAGTGTAGAGAGAGCTTTACTCTGTAACTAACCTTCTGCTGTCCCTGTCCTGGGAGTATTTGAATGGGACAGTGTAGAGAGAGCTTTACTCTGTATCTAATCCTGTGCTGTCCCTGTCGTGGGTGTGTTTGATGGGAACAGTGTAGAGGGAGCTTTACTCTGTATCTAACCCTGTGCTGTCCCTGTCGTGGGTGTGTTTGATGGGAACAGTGTAGAGGGAACTTTACTCTGTATCTAACCCATTGCTGTCCCTGTCCTGGGAGTGTTTGATGAATGAGCGTGCTGAAAACATTACTTACTGCTCGTGAAAGCACAATATTTGGTTCCTGTCATAAACAACAAGTAGGATTAGGACAGTGGCTAATTGAAGTTTTGATATGGTAGAGGTGAGAGGGTAATATTGTCCAGGCAGGATATCTACCAGCAAATGCGATAGGGTAATCACTGGGTCAGTTAGCATCTGTGGGGAGAACAGATAAATTAATGTTTAAAGAATAGATCCACCATAGGATCTGGTTGCAAAGTGTTCATTCCTGGATCCTGAAATCATCTGGCCTCCCCAGGGGGATGTTTCCTGACCTGCTGGGAATTTCTTGCATTTCCTGAGCTTTGATTTTGATTCACACTGACTGTTTTTAATCACTTCTAGAAAACCCTGGGATATTTTCACGTGACTCCAGAACCAGGGCTTTGTGAGCGGATATTACAGTGACAATGGCAAGCTTACTTCAACAGCATAGCATTGCCTCTCTGACCAGTGTTATGTACTAGTGAGCCCACTCACAGAATCCTACATTTAGGCCTCAGCGAGTATTGCAAACTGAACGATACCTCATGAAGTTTGTTCATTATGTTATTGAATGTCAGCTATTCCAATTAGGTCAAAGCCAAGGTGATATTGACAGATTACGCTGAAACAGAAGGAGATGAAGAGAGAAATCAGCATACAACCATCTGTTTGTTTAATTGTGAATGATTTCAGTTGGAATGTGTGTCTGTTGGTTAAATATTTGTTTGTATGCTTTGTTCTGTGTTATATTGTAAGATTATTAAATAAATGTTGCATCCAAAATTGATTCCGTGTGCTGCATGGTCCTAATCTGTAGGTTTGGTTGATTTAGAGATAGTAGGAACTGCAGATGCTGGAGAATCTGAGATAACAAGGTGTAGAGCTGGATGAGCACAGCAGGCCAAGCAGCATCAGAGGAGCAGGAAGGCTGACGTTTCGGGCCTAGACCCTTCTTCAGAAATCTTTATGAAGAAGGGTCTAGGCCCGAAATGCCGGTTTGGTTGATTTGTTTGTTCAGCTATTCCCGCAGAATCATAGAATCCCTACAGTGTGGAAGCAGGCCACTCAGTCCATCAAGTCCACACCGACCCTCCAAAAAGCATCCCACCCAGACCCACCAGATAACCCTGCATTTCCCATGGCCAATCCTCCTAACCTGCACTTCTTTGGACTATGAGAGGAAACCGGAGCACCCGAAGGAAACCCGCACAGACACAGGGAGAATGTGCAAACTCCACACAGACAGTCACCCAAGGCTGGGATCAAACACAGGTCCCTGACACTGTGAGGCATCAGGGCTAACCACGGAGCCACCGTGCCATCCATCCCTCTGTCCTTCTATTTCTCCTGGCAACCAAAGCTTAAATACCTGGGGTCAGATTACTGCTGACTATGGTTAAACCCTAATAGAAATTCTCTACTAATCCCCGATGGTAGCAATCCACAGTCCCAAGCTAACGCTCTGGGGACGTCAGTTCAGATCCCACCTCGGTAACTGAGGAATTTAAATGCAATAAATCAATCTGGAATATAGAGCTAGTCTCAGTGATAATGACAATAAAAAACAACTTCAATTGTTGTGACAACCCCATTGGTTCACTAATGAAGGAAATCTGCTGTCTTTTACATTAGACCCTAGAACCACAGTCAATGTAGATGACTCCTAATTGCCCTTTGTAAAGGCAAAGTTCAAGGGCATTAATGGAAGGGCGAAAAATGCCAGCGATACCGATATTGTGTGAAAGAATGATGACAATAAATAACACGTTAACTTTAGGGGGTCAGAAGAGAAGAGCTTTACGTTTCAAAAACTGAAAAGAAATGTTACAAAGGAAGAAATGAGGGGTGTTCTGAGGAAAGGTCACCAGACGCGAACGTTAACTCTGACTTCTCTTCACAGATGCTACCTGACCTGCTGAATTCTTCCAGCAACTTCTGTTTTTGTTTCTGATTTACAGCATCCGCTGTTCTTTTGGTTTTTAGCGAGAAATGAGCAATATTTTGCTGAAAGTGTGAGGTACGATTGGGAAAGGGGAGGCAGGGTTAAAGACAGGATGAGTTTGAAGGAGAAAGAACTAATGTTATGAAGCGATGTAACTGGTTTTAGGGCTGACAACCTGTGGAGATTTGTACGGTCTACTTTGCAGAATTCACCACGAGCTGCTGCAGATTACCTGGGTAAACACAGATTCTCGGCTCAAGTTTCCACTCTGGTCATAATTAACAATCCAAATTGGAAATGCATACATTTTCCTAAGTCAAATCAGGAAGCAATTGAATAAAGCAGCATTGTGGAATGTATCTATTATCTTCTTCTCCTTTTCCATTCAAAAACATCTGCAAAATATTTACTGAAAATGACTAAAGAATCAATCCATTCAGCACTGCCTTTCTGAGTAACCTAAGTACATTCATATTTCAAAACATTTGACAATGTGTCTGTGTAATGACCTTTCATCTTAACCAAATTGAAGTGTAAGAACCTCCCCAAAGTCCTGCAAATGGACATAATTAGCACAAACATGGCATGATTATTCATTCGCTCTGTGGGTGTGACCAGATTCCAGCATAGAATCATGCAACTGTACAGTACAGAAAAAGCCCTTCAGCCCATTCAAGTCAATACCGCTATAGGTACCCTCCTACCTGCACCAGTCATACTTTCTAGTGTTAGGCTTATAGTCTTGAATGTTATGACATTTTAAGTGTTCATCCAAGTACTTTTTAAGGTTGTGAGGTTTTCCTCCTCAACTACCCTCTCACGCACTCCATTCTAGACACTAACCATCTTCTAGGTATAAAAGTTTTCTTCAAATCCCCTCTAAATCTCTTGCCTTTTACTTTAAAATTTTGGCCGCTTGTTATTGAGCCTTGAACTAAGGGGATCAGCCGCTTTTTATTCACCCCATCCATACCTCTCATAATCCTATACAACTCTGTCAGGGTCGCCCCGAACCTTCTCTGCTCCAAAGAAAGCAATCTGAACGCATCCAGCCTCTCTTCATCGCTGAACTGCTCCATCTAATAAACATCCTGGTGAATCCCTCCAGTGCAATCAGATCCTTCCTGTAGTCTGATGACCGGAAATGCGCACAGTACTCCAACTATGGCCTAACCATAGTTCTGTGCAGTTCCAAGATAACCTCCCTGCTCTTATAATCAATGCCACGACTAATAAAGACAAGTGTCCCATATGCCTTCTTAACTACATCCTGCTACCTTCAAGGATCTGTGGACAAGCACCCCAAGATCCCTCTATCCCTCTGAGCTTCGTAGTGTCCTGCTATTCATTCAGTGCTCTGTTTTCTTGTTCCTCCTTCCAAAGTGCATCACCTCACACTTGTTATGGTTAAATTACATTTGCTACTGATCTGTCCATCTGACCAACTCGTATATATCCTTCTGTAACCTAACACCTTCCTCCTCATTGTCAACCACCCAGACAATCTTTACCTCAACTGCAAACTTACCTGTCACCCCTCCACATTCTCATTTACATCATGTTATTTTTGAAATACCCAAATGATTTGAAATAAAATACATAAGCCATCATCTACATGAGACAGAATTTGCATTTGAAATATCTCTGCCTATTGTATTGATGTAGCCAATGTCAGATGAATTGCAGTGCCAACACTTGAGAACCCAACGGAATTGCTACCCCTCCCTTCATTACTACTGTTCCTTCTACTGTTTGTTATTCAACTTCCACATGTGTACCAACAAAACCAATCCCAACTTCCCATTTCCATGTTTGTGTGTTACCAGCTCTCAATACGCCATTGGTTGAGGTCACACTGTCTGAGCCCTGGAATCCAGGGCAGAATGCATTTAGATCATCTTCAGATCAGCATTAATCCCTCTAGTTCCTTCACACTAATTACAACTGGAGACAACATACTTCGTGCATCTCATGACTTTACTGGTCTTTGTTCTCAATGGAGCTGGACGGAGGTCTTGTCACAAAAAAATGGCCAATAAACTGACCGTCGCTCAATGCTGTGGAAGGTTTTCAAAGTCAATTCGCACAAATGATGAGAAAAACAAATCAACTTCTCTTCACCCTATGTGATTCATCTCTCATTTTACTCTCCTGTACTAGTCTATCACCCATTCCCAAAGTTACCTGCATTATGCTGTGAGCACTCCATTGTCTTCTCCCAGTTTCTCTGTCACCATTCTCAACATCTGAAGCAACACTTCATTCTGATCACTCGATATTTTGCAGTCCCTAGTCCTTAAGGTAGATGTTCAACAACTTCAGGGCTTAATTCTAGTTCCCACTTGAGCTGTGACCGACTGGAATGGGTGGGTTTGTGTGAAGGGTGCGTGTGTGTGTGTGTGTGTTGTGTGTGTGCTTTGAGAGGACAAGGAGGTCCATGCCTTGGAGTTGATTTGGCTTCTTCTTCCTCCTCAAACCCAGAGACTGCATACTGCTCTGCTTTGCCAGTTTTTTATGGTTCCCTTTCAACCTGTATGTCTCTGCCTTACCCATCTGCCCACTGAACCACCCACCTCCCACTGCCTGCACTTAGCACGCGGTGTAACTTTGCAAAACCAGTTGACTGTTGAGCATTGATTTTCAACATTAAGAACAGGAAGAGGACCACTTAGCCACTCATTTTATTATACTATTGTTGACTGTACTACACCAAATGTAAATGCTCTGTTTTAGGAGAGAGGTGGTGTGTGGATATTGTCCTTGGGCTAGTAATCCAGCAAACTACCCTGGAGTGTTCGGGGGTGCCATGGATTCCAATCCTACAATGCAGCTGGTGGAACATACATTCGTCTATTTCAATAATAAGTATCAATCTGATATATAGAATAAACAATTGATGTGGCATCTAATGCCATTTGTGGAAGAAAATTTCCAATGTATATCACCTTCTGGGTGTAGAATATTTCTCAATTTCCTCATGGTAAGGTCTGGCTCTGATTTTTTTGACTATATCCTAACAACAAAATTCCTTGATCAATGAAAATAGTTTTCCTCTTGTCGAATATATCTGTTCCCCTTAATATCAAGCAAACAAGGTGTGGCCCACACAAGGCTTGCTAGAATTGAAGCTTTTTGATTGTTTATAAATAAAGGCCAGAATTCTATTAGCCTGTACTTGGGGGGAATACACATCTCAGGACCTTACTAATCTTCATTCTCAATACAGCTGGGAGGGTGCCTTGTCATATACAGTGGCCAATGAACTCAACCTAACTCAATGCTATGGATGAGTTTCAAAGACACTGTGTGCATGAATGATGAGAAAAATGAGTAGAACTCTTTGTAAAAACATATCTCATTCACTAATGTCCTTTATGGAAGGAAATCTGCATTCTTACATGGTCTGGCCTACATGTGACTCCACTGCAATGTGGTTGACTCATTACCGCCCTCTGAAATGGTCTAGCTTGACACTCAGTTCAATGGCGATTGCTAATGGGCAACAAATGTCGGCCATCACAGCGATGTCCACATCCTGTGAATGAGTAGTGGAAAATTTATCATGACACCCTTTTCTAATAAAGCTCTAAATATCCACAGATTTCTGGGGAAGAGAATTCCAGCCTTTGTATCTCCGTCAGATTTCCAGCATCTCTCCTGCATTAATCCTTGAATAAATATCCAGTGAGAAATTTGCTGTTGTGTATTTATGTAAGTATATTGAATTGTTACTTTAAGAGCCTGATCAGGTCATGTCACAATGACACCACCAGCCATTCTGGAGAGAAAGCTCTGTCTGGTTTGCTGCCTTGTAACATGATAAAAGCTCCTGCTGTTACTAAACACTTTGGCCTCTGATCCTTCTTGAGTAACACTTGCCTTTAATCTTTAAACTTTGACTTAGTTTGTTATTCTAAGGTGGCAAGTATAAATGTGGTTTTAAATTGAGGAATAAGGCTCTAAAGTGGCCCTGGCCATTTGATTCAGAATGATGAATAGGTTATGTAAGTTTTATCACTGAGAGATATGTTTAAATGTGCCTTTGTGGTTGCAAGTTAATGTTAATTGATGTCTCAGGAAGTGGTTGAATGTTCGTACAGCCACAAAATGTCCTTATGTAATTTGCATTTCTCTTTCCAAAGCAGTTCAAACAAATTATATTGTACTCTGCCTCACATTCTTTACATAAATGATACACTACATATGGTGCATGTTAGCTTTTTTTTCTAGTTACTGCTTTAACACAAGGCTGTTAGTCTTTCCACAATAACTTTCAAAACAGGCAGTTCTTAACAAGCTTTAATATATTGAGAACAGCAATGAATCTTCTACTTATTCAAGGGAATCTGTGTATCGGTTGCAAGGACAGTGTAGCTGCCAATCTCCTGAGCAGGTGATGTTGAGCTACCTTCTTGACCCACCGCAGGAACAGCCACAGTGCAGTTAGGGAGGGAGCTCCAGGGTTTTGACCCAGTAGCAGTGACAGACAGTGATATGGCCCCAAGTCAGGATGCTGAGTGGCTTGGAGGGGAAACTTGCAGCTGATTATGTTCCAGTGTATCTGCTGCTGTTGACAATATAGGTGGTAGAGGTCACGAGTTTAGAAGGTGCCGTCAAAGAAGGCTTGATGAGTTTTTAGAGTACACCTTGAGGATGGTACACATGGCTACTGTCATTGGTGGAGGGAGTGAATATAGAGGGTTATGGCACTGAGAGACACTCACTCCCTGGCTTTAGCAGTGTGAATGGATTCAGTGGGACTGGGAAACATTCACTCTGTGAATTATACAGAGTGAATGGGTTCAATGGCACTGAAAGAGACACTCACTCTCTTGTTGAGAAGGAAACAAAAATAGAAGGTGATGGCAGACAGAGTATCAATCAAATGGTTCTGCTTTGTCTTGGATGATGTCAAGCATCTTGTGTATCTTGTAATTCCACTCATCCAGGCTAGTGGGGAATATTCCATCAGACTCCTTACTCATGCCTCATAGATGGTGGATAGGCTTTGGGAAGTCAGGAGGTAAGTTACTTTAGAATTCCAAGTGGTCAATAGTGACCTGCTAGATGATGTTGGTAAGAGATTCAATAATGCTAACATCACTGAATGTCAAGTCGAGATGGGTAAATTCATTGCCTGGTACTTGTGTGGGATGAATGTTATGTGCCACTTCTCAACCTGAGCTTGGATATTATCCAGAGTTTGCACAACTCTTTATAATACTGCAGAACATTCTGGGAAAAAAAATTAATAATAAGCAATTAACACAACCTGGTTTCCGCATGGACTTTGAGGTAAGCAGGTTATACCTCTGGGTACTGCCTTCATGGCGAAGGATTTCTGAATGTCCCAAGTGCTCAAAATGTGAAAGGACACCACCTCTATCTTTATATTACACAACTGCCTTAAGTTGCATCTATACTTCGCTGTCATCATGTCCTCAACATTAATACTTCCCCCTTCCCCGTTTACTCTGCACTTAACACATCAGATTACCTGTACCATGTACTTGTGGTTCCCTGATTTATTTATATAATGCTGTATGATCACTGTTTATTCTGCCAGGAGGACACAAGACCCATTATCTGAGAACCAATCCATTAATGACCTTGTATGGTGCCCTCAAACATACAAGTTGTTTCCAATGTAATTAGGTCTTTAGGTAAGTGAGTCTCTTAGCAACCATTCCCTAGCTAAGTAAAGGGTCATTTATTAATTTGGCATCAGAGCCATTTTCCCTTTTGCTGAAATCGTTAGTGCAGAGTAAGATGGGATACTTTGACCATTCTCTTTAGTTTTAACCTATAGTCTTAGAATCATTAAAGCAATGGATTTGTTGCAGGACCTGTCAACATTACATAGCGACACATTTCCAGAAGCAACACTGATAGATGGGTGAAGGGCTGGCATATCAGGTGTGTGGCAAATAAGGTAGTATAGAGGAAGGGGACAGGATGCCAGGTAAGTGAGGGGTGGCACGGTGGCTCAGTGGTTAGCACTGCTGCCTCACAGCGCCAGGGACCCGGGTTCAATTCCAGCTTCGGGCGACTGTCTGTGTGGAGTTTGCACATTCTCCCTGTGTCTGCGTGGGTTTCCTCCAGGTGCTCCTGTTTCCTCCCACAGTCCAAAGATGTGCAGGCTAGATGGATTGGCTATGCTATACTGCCCATGGTGTTCAGGGATAGGTAGGTTAGTTGGGTTATAGTGGGATGGGTCTGGGTGGGATGCTTCGAGGGTCAGTGTGGACTTGTTGGGCCGAAGGGCCTGTTTCCACACTGTAGGGATTCTATATAAAAGAAATGTGGAGGAGTGGGTTTTGGGTAGTCAGGGGCAAGGGTCCCACAGGTAGTCAGGGTTTGGGTTAGGAGGAAGATTGTTAAGTAATGTGAGAAGTTGGGGGGCAGTGGTAATTGGGGTGAGGATAGACTGGGTGGTGGGGGGGGATTGCAGGAGTTGTGTGGCAAGTTTTATAGTTAGTCACGAGTTAGATTGTAATTCCTCTAACTACTCTGATGAGTCAGTTGGCGCCCTCAAAAGCATCTGACACCAACTCGGAGTGGGGGACCTCTTTGAAGATTCAATTTCCCCAGAAATTCCCATGGGAGTCAGTACACTGGGACTTCCTCATGGTCCTGAGGCCATCTGCACTGCTGCAATAATGAATTCCAATTAGAAGATCTGGGCCTAGGCCTGAATGTATAATGCTGAGGAATCTAAATCACAGAAAACATCAATCATTGTACAACCACAAAGATCAAACATTGTGATACAGGATTGTTTACAGGAACTGCACGCAAACCTGCTGTTCTGTATTGTGTCTCCCAATCAATCAAGATTTGAAAGTCAATAATTATTTACAGTGAGTGCAACGTTTGTCTCGAGTACCTCTGTGTTTATGGCTGGTTCCCAAGGCAACCTGTTGTATGGTTTCTCAAACTGTTTCCCAGAGAGCTCAATCACAACAGCATTCCCCAGTACAGAGCAGGCAGTCTGTGGATGAGAAGCATGTACTTTGCAGAGAACAATCTCTTTTCTCCTCAAACATGGAAGAAAGACCCTCAGAGACTGCGGATAATTCAACAGCAGGTTAGTGAGGCTCACAGGCCTAGGCGATGGTGTGACTGAGGAGTGTTGTTTGAAACCAACTCTGTTCTTCTGGTTAACTTGTTCATGCTATTGGCTGTTCCTCACAATAACGTTATGAGCCGTGGCTTTCTCAGAGGTAGCACGCTTAGCTCTGAGTCAGAACTTTTAAGGCCACCTCTAGGATTTGAGCATGAAATGTATGCTGACCCTCCAGCGCAGTGATGAGGGAGTCCTGCATTGTTACAGGTGCTGTCGTTTGGTTGAGATGTTAAACCAAGAAGAGATCTGCCCACGTAGCTGGACATAAATGACCCTGAGCACAAATGGAAGATGAGAATTCTTCCAATGCCCAGACTAATATCCGTCCCTTGACCAACAATTGATCATACACACGTGGTGGTTGTGTACACTAAGGGGCGATAGTGACACAGTGCTAATGTCACTGGACTATGAATCCAGAGACCTAGGTGAATGTTCTGGCGACACGGATTCAATTGCCACTATGGCAGCTGGTGGCATTCAAATTAAATCAATAAATCTGAAATGTGGAGCTGGCCACATCATTGGCCATTGTAATCTGATTCACTAATACCCTTTGGGGAGGGAAAACTGCCAACATTTCTGAGGGAAATAGGCTTCGTCTGGCCTGCATGCCAGTCCAGGAAGGTGCTTGAGTCTGAACCATCCTCTGATAATAGAATGGGCAAGCCACTCAGTTCAAGGGCAATTAGGGATGGGCAAGACATGCTGGTCTTGCTTGTAACATCCTTGAAAGAATTTGGGAAGGGCTTCTGTTGGTATCTTGCTAAGGGTCAATGCTCCTAAGCGAGTTGTGGGGGGCAGGAAATTGGATATTTTAAATGAAAAGAATCTTGCATTTTCATGGCACCGTTCAAAGATTCAAAATATCTCAAAACACAGTGCACTTCTGAAGTGCGGACACTGGTGTAATTTTAGGAAACGTGGCAGTTAGTTTGAGCACAGCAAGATCCCACAAACAGCAGTGTGATTAATTGCTTTCATTATGGCAGAACACTGGCTATTTTCTCCCCCCAGCTCCTGCTCATTGTGTGGTTATTATTTTTAATGACATGTTCTCCTCAAGTCCCAAACTAAGCACGGCCTCTCACTCAAGCTATCTGTGGCTGGCAGTGAACCGAAGGAAGCCAGTCATCTGAGGGGACCAAACTTGCCCTCCCTCCTGGAGGCAGCGTTCAGTCACCTCTAACAGCAACTCTGTCAAGATTGAGAATCCAGCAGTGGGGAGAAATTTGCCTCTCCTAGATGCTGTCAGTTCCATCACTCTGCCTGCCCTATTTTGTCTGAGACAACACCACATCCTGCATGGAGATGTAGCTTACAGTTCATGCGTCCAAAGTATCAACTGCAAAAGCATTTCCACTTACAATATTGTAGCTTATTTTATAAAAAAATGTTCATTCATGGGATGAGGGTGTCGCTGGATAGGCCAGCATTTATGGGCCGTCTCAGAGGGCAGTTGAGAGTCAACCACATTGCTGCAGGTCTGGAGTCACAAGACCAGGTAAGGATGGCAGTTTCCTTCCCTAAAGGACAT